TAAGGGTACTCTAAAATTCAGAATGAGCCTTAATTGTTCCTGATGGTTTTCCAAAACCCTCTGAAAATTGACTTTGAAGTTAATAAAGTTCTGCCTTGAAGTCAACAAAGTTATTCCAGAGCCCTAGCTCAGCTCTCTGATTATGAAAGGTGGGAAGAGTTAGTGATTGTGTTGTCCAAGCACTGTGGGAGAGGAGGAGGGACTATTTCAAACAGTTTCCAAATCCCAGGCCTCTCTTGAAGTCATTCCTTAGCTGAAGCTTGGCCTTGAATTCACCAGGGTCCTCTCTCTACCTTTCAAGTGCTGGGAATACAAGTGAGTTCTGGTTTTATAAGCATTATCTACAGGCCCAGCTTCTGAAATAGAAAGTTTCAATTTTAAGAAATGAAACATTTGAGCTGGCCTCAGTAGCACGTGTTTAATATCCCAGCACCCAGGAGTCAGCTAGATGAGGTATAAAAAGACCCTGTCTCCAAAGAAATGTAGACACTGAAGAAGAAAAAGGAAAAGAAAAACTTGTGAATATCACACCTCAGAATGACCTGTTTAATTCACAATGTATCCATTAAGTGATCACACTGAGGAAAAACATGCTAATAAAAAAAATGTTTCCAGTCTTCAAATTCAAGCTGTAAGACTGAAGAAGTAATCATATGATTGAGGAGGTTGAGACAGCTGAGCTCTGTGAGTTTGAAGTCAGCCTGGTTTATGCAGCAAGTTCAGGGCCAGCCAAGGCTACAAGTTGAGACCCAGGCTCAGAAAACTGAATGACAACAACTACAAATATTATTAAGTTGTAATTCCATCCAAACTACCACACACACACACACACACACACACACACACACACACACCCTAAAACTCCAGGGATAGAGAAGGGTTAGAGCTCTAGTTCATGGGCAAGCACTTGCCTCATAATATCCTAAATTAGGTTCATTAGAATACCACCCCCAGTGAATTTTTGGGAAAAAATTAAAACAGTTATGTAAGAAAATTTTGGGTACTAATTCACCTCTCCCTCCCACCTTTTTTATATGGCAGGTGCTGTGGATTCTGATGTAGTAGTGACTGCAGTGGTGGGTGACCCTGTCACACTGCCATGTATTTACTCAACAGATCTTGGAATCAGTAACTCTTGCTGGGGCCTTGGCGAGTGTAAATTTTTTTATTGTGCAAGAACACTTATCTGGACCAATGGATATCGAGTCACCTATCAGAGGAGCAGCAGATACCAGCTAAAGGGGCCTATTTCAGAAGGAAATGTGTCCTTGACCATAGAGAATGCTGCTCAGAGTGACAGTGGTCCATATTGCTGTGTAGTAGAAATCCCTGGATCTTTCAGATATGCGACATATTCGCTGGAAGTTAAGCCAGGTAAGCTCTCTTTGCTTCTTTTGTTTATTTCTTGCCAGTGAACTGAGTCCTCTGTTTGCTAATGTTTTCTGTTTTCCTCTGAGAAGGAAACTGAAGGTTGTTACAAATATGTTTGTGTATAGGTGAGGAGTTCCATTCCCTGTCTGCCCCGCCTTGGGCTTTTGGAGTAGGTCTCACATCACGCCACACAATTTGTTGCTTGAATAATGGAAATGACCTGATAGAATTGTGTTCCCTCCACCACCTGTTCACAAGACACTCACTCTGCAGTGTGATCACATGAGCAGTTAGTCCATGGTCACTCTGCAGTGTGGTCACATGAGCAGTTAGTCCATGGTCACTCTGCAGTGTGATCACATGAGCAGCAGGGGTTAATCCATGAATGATGCTAACACACAATTCCCTCCAATGAGCTTTTTTAGAAGGAGAAGGTGGAGATCAGACCTCCAGGTAGGAGGAAGAGCATTAGAACGAAACAATACAATGTATGTGGTTCATCCCTTGATGGGTTATGAAGGGTCTTCCAAGGAAGGAGGGCCTATTCCTTACAACATGGACAGGGGATTCATTAAGAATGGAAATGGGGGGACTAGAGAGAGAGCTGCTAAGACTGGAATGGCAGGGCAGACAGAGGATCCTCTTCAGAGAGCAGCCTGCACAAAACTATTCTCAGCAGTGTTAATATTTTGTATGAGAGAGACCTTGGCAGGTTGGGTACAAACTATGGTGGGAGAGAGTTGGACAAGCCATGCAAACAGTGCTAGTGTGGAGAGTCTTATTGGGGGAAAGGAATGGGAAAGAGGGGAGTAGGTGAGTGGGGAGTAGGAGAGAGGGGAGGGGAAAAGTGAGGGAGAGGAAGGCACTGAGAGGCAGACAGAAATCGAGGCAGGGTACTGCGTGCGCGTGCGCGTGCGTCTCCTTTTTTGTTTATTAAAAAGAGTTAGGCATGGAAGGTTACGACAATGAAGGCATCAAGTTGTCCAGACTACTTCCTGCTGATCTGGGGGTATTGAAATTTGGGGGAACCTGAGAACTGGGGAGCAGGCCACATCCTGGAGTCACTGGTTGCCTTATCATTGTTCAGGCTCTCTAGAACTGTCCAGTGTCTCAGGCCTGGTGATGTGCTAGCAGAACAGAGGACAATATTAAGTTTAGGGAGTTATGTCCTGGTAAGTGAGGGAGCGTCAAGACCAGGGAGAGGTGGGGAGGCTTTAGCTGCTTGGGTCCTGGTAACTGAGGGAGAGATGCATCTCACCTGTTCTGCTGTGAATCCAAGTTTACTTCCTGGAACTTACAAGAATTCCTTGAGTTTGTGAAAACTTGATGTTTAGAGTTGGTTTTAGACATTGTTTGTCCTCTGTACTGAAACTCACACTGTAGAAACCGAAGTATACTCTTGCCAGAATTGATTCTGGTTGAAAGCATTGACAACTCTTTCTTCCTTCTGGAAAACTGTGAGAATGTTTTTAGCACACTAAAAAGTACACTCTAAGTCTGTAGTTAGAGGAAATTTAAAATCCTGGTCTTATAGCCATGTTCATATAGTGATAGTATGGTGTTTAGAACTCTGACAGAGCTGGGTTAATAGTCACCAGAATTTCATCCATGATTTTTAAGACTATGAACTTTTGGAGTTACTATAACGGTAGCATAATGAGAAAGATCAGGGACATGTTTCATCATCATTTAAGCCTTTTTTTTTAATCCTCAGACATCATATTTGCATTTACACACTTAAGTCACTTTCTTAGACCTCTTAAGCTTTACCTTAAAACACCTTTTATCTAATTTACCAGGAGGTACAGGTGGCTGACCACTGAGAGCAGTCACTGTAAAGCAAGGTCCTTTACACAAAGGAATGATAAAAGTTACATTAAAAATGGTTTGTGAGTTTTATTCTGAGAACTGTGTCTAGACTTGGTTTTGGCCTGTGACCTGAATTTTACAGAGAACTAAGAAGGCAGCTGAAGCCTTGGTTGTTGCTGTTAAGCTGGCCTGTAGTGGTATTTATGATTTATTAAAAAGCTTGCCTGAGGATTCAGAAAAGCAAGATCATCCTCAAGCTATGAGATCAGGCAGTGGTGGCACACACCTTTAATCCTTGGACTCAGGATTCAGAGATAGATGGATCTTTGTGAATTCAATGCCACCCAGGGAAAGACAGATCACCTGCCGTTATTCCCAGCACTAGAGGGGTATAAAAGATGGAAGCAGGGTCTTCAATAGTCAGTATGAGGCATTCAGTCTTCAGCCACCCAAAGGAGAGGCAGTAGTTTGAAGATTGGTGAAGAGCTGGTGTGTGGTTCAGTTACTCAGTCTGAGGTAGAGGTAAGAAGCCAGAGGCCTCTTAAGAGCTGCTATGCTTTTCTGATATTCATCTTGAAATTTGAACCCCAATATCTGTCTCTAGGTCTTTTATTTATATTTGTTACACTGGCCAAACTACTAGTAGTCAAACAGTGTCAGAGTTCTGAGAAGGATAAAATTTACCTGAGTTAATGATTAAAAATGACAGAGACTTACTTGCTGGCTGCCTACCCTGGGGTCCTCCATGGTCAGTTACTTTGTTTAGGCAACTGGAGGCTGTCAATTCGCCAGTGTCCTGTTTTGTTCAGTGCCTCAAGAGGGACTTTGCAGCAGTTGAGGTGAAAGGCAGGTTGGCTCACTGGCTAGTGCTGCCACTTTTGAAACCAGTTCCTGGTGGAGGTTCTTCTGTGCCCATCCATCTTTGGAGAAAATAGGAGTGCTTCCAGGAGCTGTCACTTCTCTCTCTACTTCAAAAAGGTTTTTAATTAAACATTTTAAATGCCATAGTCTGCAGAACTCTGAGGATTTGAGGACTGTCTATTAGGTATATCTGAGTGGATTTCGTTTCTAGTTCTTTGCTTTAAGCTTAACTCTGAAAACTTATAGGGGACTAGGTAAGGCTTATCCCTGTAATTAATTACATCAGTATCCAGAATGACCACAATTAAAGGGCTTGATCATTTATAAGATGACTTCCCCACAGCTTTTTTTTTTTGGTTTTTCAAGACAGGGTTTCTTGGGTTTTGGAGACTGTCCTGGAACTCTCTTTGTAGACCAGGCTGGCCCCAGACTCACAGAGTTCTGCCTGCCTCTGTCTCCAAAGTGCTGGGATTAAAGGTGTGCACCACCACTGCCCGGCTATAAGATGACTCTTGCCTTGTATCCCTCAACAGTCAGCAATAGGTTAGCAGGTTCCATAAGACTAGGACTTTACATTTCTGTCAGTTTTAGCCTTAAAAATAATGATTTTTTTTAATTGAAGGTCTTTTACTATTAAAATAAGAATCCAAGGCAGTCATTCTGAGGGTAGTAACAGAACAAGTGTGCACCAAACTGAGACTGTCTCCTGAGAAGGCAAGGAAAAGTGATAAGGGAGAGATTCAAGGGCCAATGGCAACAGGAGAAAGGGGCTTTTGAGTTGGGGTGTGGCCCAGCAGCAGAGAGTGAGGGAGCACAGGGGCCAGCACTCCCTTGACAGGCCATGGGGGGGCCTCTGCCCAAATACCCAACTCTGGGAAAAGGACCCTCTCTGGGAACCAGTCATTTTATTATAGAATATCTATATCTATATCTATTCTATATAATTTATCAGACATATGCTGCCACTTATTTAAACTCTTGGTGTTGAACATTTGGCAAAGACATAAGTACTTAGGTGGAAATCTCTAAGTTACCTTTTGTTAATCGGAATAGTCTTTTTATTTTTATTTTATTTTATTTTATTTTTTGAGACAGGGTTTCTCTGTGTACCATTTGCTGTAATGGAACTCACTATGTAGACCAAGCTGGCCTCAAACCCAGAGATCCTGCCTTTGCTTCCCAAGTGCTGGGATTAAAGGCATGTGCCACCACCACCTGGCCTGAATAGATCTTTATAACCTTAAATTTTTATCACCATATAGAGTATATTTTAAAGCAGAGTGGAATCACATACAAAATTTCATACCAATCCAAAATATTTGAGACTTGTCAGTTTCTTAGGCTAGAAGGAGATACAGTGAATATCATAAGATCTTAAAAATTAAAAGGGAAAACCGGTAGATGCTGAGCAAAATGAAAACCCCAAATCTAGATACATTAATTTTCTTCTTTCTTCCTTCCTTTCTTTCTTTCTTTCTTTCTTTCTTTTTCTTTCTTCCTTCCTTCCTTTGTCCTTCCTTCTTCTTTCCTCTCTCCCTCCATCCATCCCTCCTTTCTTCTTTCCTGCATTTTTTTTCCCTAGGTAGGGTTTCTCTGTGTACCCTTGGCTGTCCTAGAACTTGCTCTGTAGAAAGGCTGGCCCTGCATTTACAGAGACCAGCCTACCTCTGCCTCCAGAGTGATGGGATTAAGGAGTGCTGCACAACCACTAGGCTTTACATTCTCCTTATCGATATAAGGATATCTTTGCATTGAAATAAAAGAGTAGACTCATGTAAATTTACTGACTTCTGGTGATGTTCCTAAAAGTTTCACTAAAGGATATACATGAACAACAGAAATCAATAATAGAAATAATCTGTCTCCCTATTTAAATTAAGAACATCTTCTGTAATCTCTCAGGTTCTAGACCTTGTTATTCAACCATTTGTTCATTTCATGTTTAAATTGATTTTTAAAACTGCATTATTATTCTGTTGGTATATATGAATGATTTGTATTTACAAATACAAATACATGGTATGTATGCATACCATGATGAATTTGTCAGAGTGCAAACTTGGGGGGTTGATTTTCCCTTTATATATTTACATGAATTCGAGGAATGTAAGTCAGTTTTCCAGTCTTCCAAGTCAAGTGCCTCTACCCATTGAACCATTATTCTGGCTCCTGTTTAGTGATTTTTATGAATTTTGACAATGGGCCTTCCTTTGTAAATCAGGCTGATCTGGAACTTCTTGCCCATGCGGTAACCTCCTAAATTTGGGATTGTAGGAATGCGAGACCACACCTTGTTAGGGTGAGGTCCATTCTGATGGGGCAAGGAGCCTTGCAAAACTATGGCTGGGAGTCAACTTAGGTAAGCCAGAAGAAGATGGTCATAGGGTGTGCAAAGAATGATGTATAGAGACAGCTTTGGGGAAGAGACATAGGCTCCTAGTGCCTATCAGAGGAGTGAAATGATACATTTTCCTGGCTGAAGTCAAATAACTTTGGACTCCAAGGGTACCCACTCACATGAGAATAAACCTTACACACACAGCACAGAGAGTGAGAGAGAGACAGACATAGAGACAGAGAGACAGAGAACGAGATCACTAAACACACACACACACACACACACACACACACACACACACACAAAACTCTCTTAGGGGATGTGTAGAATTTTGTCTAGCATGACTGACTGTAGCCTTTGCTTCTGTCCCTAGAACTGCAAATACACTAATCAAGTAAATGCTGTGGTGTGACTTGGGAAGGCACATTTCTAGCACACATTCCTGCCTAAAACTCTGGGGTTAGATCTCTAGCACTAGAATAGGCATAGGCATGGCATCATAGCATAAAATTACAAATTTCAATACATTAATCGAAGGTTTTATCAAGCTTAAAAATTTGTTAAAAGGTCAGTGCTTACAAAGTGATTCCATAAGTAATCCAGTGACTCTGTTTCATCCTTAACAACTAAGTCAACATTTTCTCCTGGTTTAAACACACCGTGCTTCCTCTCCAGTGGTCCTAAGACCCTCATCAGCTCCTTTGGACTTTCCCATCTACTTGCAGAATAAAGTCCCAGAGCAAGATGAGCAAAGCTCCTGAGCTGTTGAATCTTTCCTGGTTGTGTTATCATAGTGATCTTCTGACGAGATTGTGCAATGCTTGCTATCTCTCACCTCAGAGATTTCTGCTCTCCAGGTAGGGTTTGTACTGTGTTCAGGCCTCTGTCCACATATTGGACTGGTCAGCAGCAACCCAGGCCAGGTTATAAACATAACCAATCACTTGTGTGAATACTTTCATTGCATCACAGCCACACCCACTCTTGCTATGTTGTCAGCAGTGATTTTCAAACTGACATGGGTGCTTGTTCCTGTACATGGTGTTTTTTGGTTCCTGAGCCCAAGACACTTAACTATCTGGCCCTCTATAGGAAAGGGGCTTGAGGGCCAGTGAGATGATTCAGTGGGAGAAGGTGCGGACTAATAAGCTTGATGACCTGAATTCAATCCCTGGGCCCACATGGAGGAAGCAGAAACAGACTCCTGACATCCATCCACATTTGTGACATCACACAAATAAAGAATAAATACTTGCATAGAATTTAAGGGTTTGCTCTGCATCTGCCATTTCCCTACACATCGTAGGAACACTACTGTTTTTTCTTTATTTCAAGGCAAACACAAACTTCACTAAGGGATTATGCTGCATCCCAATAAAGAAGGGTTTTCAGAGCAATTGTTCCTTGTTGCTGAGGTTTTATTTTGCATTGTGTGTCTTAGATAGGAAGAAACCATAATAGATAATATCCAGTCTCCACCCAAATTTCAAAACCCATTTGTGTTGGGGCTTGTGTGGGATCTGCATGCTAAGATGCAGGGCTATATGGTGTGTCTGTCCTCTTGGGACTCACTGTAGTGAACATGCAGGGCCTGGAAATTGAGTATGAAGTGAGTCGCCAGTGAGAGCAATCACAGGCCCCCACATCCTCTCAGTGTCAGCTGTCATTTATAAAGTGTTCTTAGGAGCACAGTCTATGTTCTCATCTCCATGTCATCAGTGCAGCTGCCTGCCATTGGTGAGCTTTCCCCACAGCCCTCTCCTGCCCTGTCCTATTTGGTCAATGACAAAGGACAGTTCAGGAGGGGAGCCTCTCTCGGGACAGCATCTCACTAGTGCTACAACAGAACTTCTTGTCCCTTCTTGTTGACTCATTCTTGTTTTATCTTGAATTCCAAATCCAGAAATTCCAACAAGTCCTCCAACAAGTCCCACAACTATAACAGGACCCACAACAACAGGAAGACCCACAACAGCAGGCAGACCCACAACAACAGGAAGGCTCACAACAATCAGAAGACTCACAATAGGAAGACCTACAACTACAGTGAAACCCACGAGAATGTCAACAAGACCCATACATTTGCCAACATCACCCACAGTCTCCACCTCGACTCCTACAACACCAGCACAAACAGAGACTCACACAACAGGTAAAAGCCAATGTGATCCAGGACCCAGAGTCCCTCTTATCAGTGGCTGTAGGGCACACAGACACTGAGTAAAATCAGAAGTATATATGGGTAAAGAGTTCTTAGCTGGGTCCCAACAACAGCTTCACAAAGACTATAATTTTCCAGGCTTAAGATACATTCACCTTCTCCTGTGTAAGAACTTGAAGATACAGAGACACCATCTCTCTATATCAAATTACCAGGGGATTCACTACTAGCCAGTCATAGGTGGATCATTGATCTAGGGTAGCTGATGAGGATGGAGGGACTCTGATCAGTTTGGCATGACTTTCTGGTGAGAAACTAAGGACTGACTGAGAACTAAGGTCAGGGCAGGGAGACCTTGACCCTTTGTATCTTTCTGAAATTGGTCACTACAGCAGAAGCCATGGTTCAGTGAACCTAGGATTTAGCCTTTCCTATGCATCAGGCACATGTCCCATGCTTTATGATGCCGAGATTAATTCTCAGATAATTATGTCCTATATAGCTGTGGTCTGTCCCTATTTTATAGTGACAGGAACTGACAGAGTCAGCATGTTCATGGTAGAGTTATGAAGACAGAAAGTGTCCCTGCTCACTTGAATCGGAACCTGTTTCTTCTGACTCCAGGGTCAGAACTCCTGCCCTGAGCACAGATGTTGAGAGGGTTTGTAATGTTCTCACATCCTTACTGGAAAGGCATCCTGACACCACCCTCTAAAGAAAAACCAGAGAGAGAGAGAGAGAGAGAGAGAGAGAGAGAGAGAGAGAGAGAGAGACTGACAATGGATGCTTTGCGAAGCTTTACTTTAAGGATCTTTCAATTTATTCATGTAGTGTAAAAATTGCAATATATGTACTTTTTAAGGATAACACACACACCAATTTCAAAGGTTTTAGGAAGTGATTTAACCTGCTCATTTTTTTGAGTGATGCCATGAAGTTCATACTTCAAATTGCCTACAGGTAAAATTAATATTAATTGATAGTACCTTGACTTACAGAGGGGGAGTAGTTTTTCATCCTGAAGGCAAGTTTAGGTTCAAATCTTCTTCTAGGAGTTAACAGATAGCTGTTAGAGGGTTTCTCAAAGCTTCTTAAACCTTGTCCATCCCAGGGGCAGGGCTGGATTCTGACAAGAGAAAAAGCCGCATAGGTTCTTTTGTTGTTAGGGTAATCTGATGGGTGATATTTAATTCTTTCTCCTCTTGATGGCCTTTTGGTAATTTCAAGCAGGAGGACCCTGAAGGACTGGGCTGCTCGCAGAGTTTGCAGAGGCCGCCAGGTTATAACTAGGCTTGTCAAGCATAGGATTTGTGAAAAAAAACCACTTTGTTTCAGGTAGCTGCACACACTGAAGAAATGCAAGGATCTCTCAGGGTTAACACAAATTTTCAATGCTTACTTTCAGCCTGTTTCAGGGGATGGGCTCATGGGCTGAGGACCTGTAGTATTTCCACTCGTTGCATGGGCACTGTGTGTATTGCCAGCTGAGATGGCTGTCATTTGCTAAAATTGGAAACATGGAGTCATGTAATGTCAGCTTCTTTATCTGTAAAATGCAGTGAAGGGCTCCTTGTCAGGACGTCACAACCCTTACATACGTCTGATATCAGCAGAAAGAGGATTCTGTGTTTCATTCACAGACAATAGACAGAGTGAATCAATAGATTCCCTGCTATAAAATAGACATTTCAAATATATTTTGAATGTGTAAGTGTTCAAAACTTGGTGTTCAGTGAATCTTCTGCCTTATTAAATCCCACCCTCACATGGTGTAAGACACATTGACTTTGTGGGTGACTTTTACAGATGTGGGAAAAAATCTAAATTTATATGTTTATAATTAATTTTTCCTCTTGTTGAACAGATTGGAATACTACTGTGACAGATTGGAATAACACTGTGACATCCTCCAACAACTCTTGGGATAATTACACTGTAAGTATATTCTTCCCCAATCAGCCATGCTCCCTTGTGTATCTTCTCGGATACAATTTGTAGCTAAAGATGTTTGTAAAATTAATTCACAGGTATTAGTGTTTAAAAAAAAGAGTCAGATAT